ACCCACTTACACGTTAGCACCGTTGAGGGTGATCATCTGGGTCTCTGATTGAGTAGTAGCGTTGAGGATATTTTCCATTTCCATATTAGAGAAACTGAGAATTATTATCACCAAAACGGGCCTTATAATTATAGGTTTGGGGCTGAGGTGTGGAGAGTAGAAAAATTTGAGGAGATTAAGGAACACAAGAAAGCGAAAGGTGGATAGTTGTTCCACTCCCACTTCCAGTTGTGTACAATAATGAAGGCAGTGAGAGATATTCGAGGAGCAGGAGGAAAACGCGGCCATGGCAGCGCCCAGCGGCTAAGCCGGAAGAGGAATGGTGAAGGGAGAGGGGGCAGTGGCAGAGTTGTTGCATGGAAATGGGCTGTGGCTGTGGCCATGGCTTCCACAGTTTGTTTGGTTGTGAAATTATGGCAATTTTGGACTTTGAAAAACAAACTCTGATCCATTTTACTGTTGTTGTCCTAAGTCCTAAGTCCTACCTTTGGTTTTGGGTATAATTACTCTATGCTTCGCCTATGCCTGCTTTACCTTTACATCTTCTTTCCCTCTCTGTGTTTCCTTGATTCTCTTCTTTTTGCTTTCAAACAGAAACACATCACAAAAAACCATTGTCTTTTGTCAACTTTTTGTCCAGTGTATCAGTGATTATATGAGATTTCTTTTATATATCCTGATCTCTCTCTCCCTCCCTCTCCTTTTGGTTGTTGAACTTCTAATATTGTATATGTCATGAATTTGGACCTTGAAAAGTTTTAGATAAGTCTTTATAAAGCATGTGTCTATTAATTTTTGTACTTGAACAAATTCTATTAGGGTTTTTAATTTGTAGTTTTGTGTTTCATTGGTGTCTTGTCTAAAATATAATCGCCAAATAATCTTTGATAGTAGAATTAGCAAGAAAAAGAAAAGAAATGTAAATAAAATAGGTGTTGCAAATACGACAAATATATTTAGTAAAATTAGTAAAATGGCCGCCATATTTAGTTTTTTCAAATATAGCACATTTTTTTATTAAAGATACGAAGGTCAAATTTTGAAATGACAATTTTATCTCAATGATATATATCTGTAATATATCTAACTATTGATATATGTAAATGATATACATTTGATATACTACTGTATACCTCTAATGTACTATTAATATACTATTGATTCGAGTATTTTATATACAAGTAAAGATTTTTGCTATATTTAAAAATTAAAAAAATAGATGACATCTTTTGAAATATTATACATAAAATATGTTTGTTATCCACTGCAATTTTCTAATAAAAAAAATAATTAGAGAGATAGTGAGAGCAAAAAAGCACAGCGAAAATGTGGATTGGAGAGAGGAAAAAAGAAACAAAGAAAAGAAAAAAACCATTAATTGTGAGGAGAGAGAGGGAAATAAGAGAACACAAAAACATTAATTAGAGAGAGAAAGTAGAGATTACCGACTAGATTTTGCTCGGGATTCGGACCAAAACTAAAAAAGAGAACATTTAGCTTTTTAGTTATAAAATTATTCAAAAATTAACAACTCGTTATTTAAAAATAAAAGTACTTATTTTTACATTTGCTTGTCATATTTATTAAATACTTTTTTTAAAAAATAAAAATATTTATTTTTACTTTCGGTGTCATATTTATTAAATAATTAACTGTGATAGAGAGAATAAGATTATCGCCGTTAAGATGCCAAATATTTTCAGATAAACATTAATTAGATAGAGAAAATGGAGAATACCAACTATATTTTTTTTTGGGATTGGGACCGAGATTAAAATAGATAAGTATTTGGGTCCCTTTAACCGTAAGGACTCATTATTTTTTTAAATAAAAATTATTAAAAGGAGCAAAGTATTTTCTATTAAAAAGTGTGGATAATTAATTTCAGCATGGATTTGATTAATTTCGGTCAGAATATCAGTCGATGTTTATTTATTTTTTAATCCCTAAATATTTTTTTGATAAATCTTCATAACCTCTACCCTTTTTTTTCTTTGATAAATCTTCATAACTTTCCTCTACCTCAATTTATTTTTATTTAAATCGGGGATTAATCAACTTAAATGCAAATTTGCTAGATTATGGTTCAAATTTGTGACGAAATTGATACATCACATTTGCAATTCATCTAAACGATCTGTATATATACATATATATTTTTTATTTCAAGTTATTATAGATAAATTCAAAATTGATAAATCTTGATTCCAAACCAATCCGTTTGAAATATTTGAATTTTACTTGTAATTTTGTAAGTTCTGCCATAGATAAAATAAAAGCTTAAGAAAGAAATAAAATTATTGGAGGGAGGTTGTCAAGTTTTTGTTAAGAGAGAGGGGTTAAAGAAAGAAGTGGAGAAAGATGAGAAGTAATGGGTAGAAAAATATTTTCAAATTTAGGTATGTTAAAAAAAAAGCAAGAAAAAAATTTAAGAACGACCTAGATATATATATATATGTATGTGTAATATGCATGTGTATATATATACACACACTTGATTTTATACACAATCGACGGTTGATTGAATATGTATCATCGATCGATATACTTGATCATAAGTATATAAATATTGATATAATTGATATATATACTGAATTTGATATACTTGAAAATCTAGAATGATAAAATCAAAATAACTAAAAATTAAAAATTAGATTTCAAACATATGACAAATATTTTAGCCATTCACCCTAAATTTTTCTATTCAATATATTACAAATATAAAAATTCATAAAAGTTTGAATTTAATATATGTTGTATTGTTTGTTTTTTAAATTTAATTTGACGAATTAAGTATTTTTAATTACTTCCCATTTAATTTTATGACTGTGTTTTTTGTGTGTGTGTGTGTCTAGAAAAGCAATGTATTTAGATGATTGATGGAAGGAAATGATGATTATGCAATAAAAGTAGGGAGAGGGTCTATATGTGAAATAGGATCTTCCATTTGTGATATGCCCATCCACGTTTGATTTGACGCTCGCTTTCCCTCTCTACACACTAATTTCTAATNTTTTTACTTTCTGATAAATGGTTTAATTTTTGTCACATGCAATTAATTATATTCATATTCACATTAAGTATGGATGAGAAAAATACTTTATTACCTCTCCTTTTACTATTTAAATGACAAGATTATTAGCTTCAAACAATTATTCTTTCACTATTCAATGATATCCCATAAATTTTCTGATTGGTCAAGAAAAGAAGGAGAAAAGCCTAATACAAACATAATTCAACCGTTAAGGATGATTTATTTTTAATAAAAGTTGGTGATTCAAATCCGTACCTTTACTTTTATTGTAAGAACAACGGTAGCCACCAATACTTCAGATATCTCCATAATAGTATGATATTGTCTATTTGCTTTCTAGTATTAAGAAATATGATAATCTTACTTATATGCTATAAATTCTCTGCCCAACTCGATGTAGGACTTTATTTACCTTCGCTCCTAAGTCTTAGGTTTATTTTTTCTAAATTTAAAAAACATAACTTTCCTTGTGTCAACCAAAAGTATTTTCTTTTTCTAAATAATTTAAATTTGATGTGGAAAGGTATTTGTTTAATTTTTGATTTAAAAAAAATGACGTGTCTAATTATAATAGAGTCCGTATGTAGGCTTCCTTTGGCCCTCTGGCTATCATGGATCCACCGCCGTAGTCTTCCCCCGCTCGCCGCCCTCCTGCTCGTCCCAAAGGGTTCAGTTCACATCTACAAAATATTTCACACATAAAAATAACCCAATTCATTCCTTTCGCCAATTACAATATAATTTAATGTATAAATATTATTTAGAGTTGGACTACCCTGAGTGATTTAAAAAAAAAGAGATTGAAGTGATCTTGTCAAAATCATTTTCCGGATATTTGTAAAATCAATTATATTTAAATCAATTTTTTAAAAAATCACTAATTTTATCATCTTTTTTAAATACATTGCAATTGATACGATMAAAAATAATTTCAAGTGATTTTTCTAAAATCAATTTTTCAATTTGTCAAACATGATCCATAGAAAGAGAAGAAAGAGAAGTGATATTACCTATGTAAAAGTGATTATAGCTATACCAAAATTATTCCAAAATATACCCTTGCTATCATTGCACATGATAGAATGTACTAAACGCGTGGAGGTGAAAATTTAAACTCTAAAATTTTGATCAAAGATATAACCAGTTGAATTATGTTGGTAGGTGCAACGACAACTATCTCAATTGGAACAATAAATTTAAATAAAAAAAAAATAGAAATTGCTCTATACTCATGAATGAATTTTACCTTATGTGTAAATCATTGATTTTTTACCAACATTCCAAAAATATAATTTAAGCATATGTTCGTTAATAATATCATAAATTTGAAATGTGAAAATTAACATCATAATTTTGCTCTAAACTTTTTCTTAATTCTCCATTAATTATCACGTATATTAGATCAATTGCCTCACTTATTGTTGGCTAAAAAGAGGTAAACAATAAGAAAAATACTTAGCTTGACAACTCATTATTAAAAAAAAAAAATCTGTATTTATACATTTATCTGGTGAGTACAATATTTTCCAAAAAGTAACATTGTGAAACTTTGGAAAGGTAAAACGATTATTTATGAAACGAGGGCAGAGTTGAAAACTATTTGTAGCACATCAGCCAATAATTAAAAAAAGTAAAAACTCCACTCACCTTGGGAAAAGGCTTGGGGCTTTTAATGAAGAAATGGGAAAAAATCTTGAAAAGAAAATAGTTGTGTACGAACTGTGAAAGCAACAAAAATGGTGTTGGTGTCCCATTTCTCACGCTCTCCAACAACGCCGCCAAACCGTGGCTGAAGGAGGAGCCTCACTTCAATTTGTCTTCTAGTAAAACAAAAACAAAAAAACCCTTCCCATTTCACATTTGACATTTGACATGACTTCAAACACTTATCACTTCCCATCTTCATCATTCCATTCCTAAAATCCCCTTTTTTTTCTCTTTATAATCGAAGAAAAAATTTCTATCAATGGGAATGGATCATCATCTTAATAACCCTCCTCTCCCATTCCCATTCTTCCCCTCTCCTTCCTTCTCCTTCTTCCACCACCGCCCTCTCATGGCCTTCCCCTCCAAGCCACTCAATCCCAACGCCGACCCATTTCTCTCTCCCCCAACGCCGCCTCCTCCGCCGCATGTTGGTGGCTCTCTCGTCTCCGCGTACGGGAATATATACTACCCACGTGCGGGTGCGGGTTTCTACTTGCAGTTCCATCCCTATCCCGCCGTTAACTACTACGATCCCTTGTCGTCGCAGCTGTTCTGGCCGCCGTACCAGGCGGCGGGCTTCGGCGGTGCCGCCGTGCAGGACCCGAAGCACGGCTTCCAGAAGAACTTCATGATTTCTAGTGGGCCCCGGCCGGGAGATATCAAACCTTCGCCGCAATGGGTTGAGAAGAACGGCGGTGGCGGTGGCGGTGGCGGCGACCCTGTCGATGGCTCTGGGGTTACAACCGTGATGATCAAGAACATTCCCAATCAGTTGAAGTGGGTTTTTCTTTCTTTTTTTTTT